TCAACTTTCACTATAAAGTCTACTACATGGTCCCCACTCTATATAGCAGTTGATGGATTTAGGGGTTAGGGCAGACGTTCTGACACAGTGCATTCGCATTCGACTTCTGCATCGTCCAAAGATTAATCGGCCCATAACATAAAAGCGTGCAGCCATGGCCTGTTCAGATTGAAAGACTCCTCATTATGCAGCCAACAAATGGAGCCTTCTTTTTGCCTGTTTTGAAGGACATGTCCAGTGTATCCTACGTAGCCTTGGATATCCTGTGATTCATTGCGAGTCCAAGCAAGCTGGCTGCTCTGTGCTCAGGGAAAGAGGGTAAATGGTGGGATCGACTCATTGACTCAAAGGCAATCCCTCACACTAAGCATGCTTGTAGCCACAGTGGAGAGGAAAAACGCCCTTTTAACTGGAGGAAACCTCCCGCAGAACCAGGCTTAGTGTGAGTGGCCATCCACTTTCCTCTCGTTTATAAAAAGAGTCAGAAATAGATGGAGATTGGCAAACAAACCACACACCACCTATTTTGGTGCCTTAGAAAAAGCATACACAAGCATAAGCCAGTTAAATGCTGACAGCAAGCAACTTTTATTATTAGCAGATCCCACAGCCATACGTTTGAGTGTAACACAAATGGAAGTCATAGTTAAAATGATTTTCAGCTTTTAGGACATTTATAAAGATGGTCCAATACCAGATGATGAAGGTGTGGTAGCTTCCCAGTAAGTGATGTCTGTCTGAATGAAGTCCAGAGTCAGGTTCTGGTTCTGAGTGAAACCCATCACAATCTCCCTTATCTCTCCAACTATCAACAAAAGAAAAAAAAATTATTCTGTTAAGGATTTCAGTAGCCAGAACATTATATTCATAGCAAACCTAATTAGTGATTAGAGCAAAAAAAATAAAAAATAAAAAACCATTTGACCCTTTCTGAAATGTTATAGTTGAATTGGACTAAAAACGTATCTGAGTTTAAATTTTAGAACAAAGAAATAAACATTACCATATAGACAGCAAAACCATTTTCTCAGATAAAGCATTTGAAATGTATGTAAAAAAAAATAAGAACCTGTTGTTTGCAGTCTCACAAAAAAGAATTGGGTATGTCAAATGTGTTGTACTGTGGTGGAAATTATATGCAAATACAGCTTTAAAAGCAGTGGAAAATCTTGAATAAGACTTTTTTCCCTTTTTGTTTAAGAACAATTCTAAGGTTTTTTTTTTTTTTTTGGTAAAAGTTACAAAGACAACATCAGGATAAGAGTCAAGGCTACAGTAAAAGTGTTAGTTTTGGTCTTTCAGTTTTATCGATAACATCTTCTTTCCATTCCTGACTTGAATCACCCTTCTTTTGCTTCTTATCATAGGAGAAACATTTAAATCTTTATTTTAAGCTGTAGAGCTCTGAAAAGTTGCCTTTCTGGACTGCATGTACTCCACCTCTGCGCTTGTGTTTGGGTGTTAATTCTTGGAATGAGGCACCCTAAGAGGGTCATTAGGTTTTGAAATACTCTGGAACGGGGAACCCCTTCTGAGTTTCTTAGATACTCTAAACAAAGAAAGACAATGTTCTTGCTCTTGTTTAAATTTGTTACAAGAAGTCTTTGAAGTCAGACTCCCTTTTGCTGAGTCTCTTATTTACTATTCAGATATTCTGCCAAGTAAGCTGCCTCTGTATAACATTAGTATAACAACCAGAATCACCAAGAAGTGTTTCTTAATGCTTGGATCCTGCAGCAAAGACAGAGTTAAACCACCTCTACCATGGCTGGTGCGAGTATAACCACGCCGTATTTTTAAACCAAGTCTTCATCTAATGCTGACAGCCCATCAGTCTGATCACTACACCATAACTTGTTTTTTGTGTTGCTGTGTTGAAGATGGCAAATAAGCACAATGTCTACGTATACGGTAAAATAGCCTTGTTTATTATTTAGTCACTTTTTATCGATTGTCTCCACACTTGCCACAATTTGGGACATACAGTCATAGCTAAAAGAAAGTTTTGGGTTTGCAGTGTTTTTACAGCATTTTGGTGATTATGACAATCTTAGAAATTAATTATAGATACATTCTTCAGTTTATAGATTTGACAAATTTAGAATTTATTTATTAAACTCATATAGAAAACACTCTGTTTAGCAACATCTTTATTTTGTTTATGCATACAACAATGCGAATAAATGTCTTGTCTGTGTTTTGCTCTTATGAAACAAGTATCCTCAGCTCTTATGAGCTGGATTGTCATGTCTGTTAATATTGACCGTTATCTTGGCCCAAGTTCAGCTCTGCCTTGATTAGATTAATGTATTAAAAAGGTTCCAATTGGGATGACAAGATGCAATCCAGACTTTGAAGACTTTTGTTATACAGAGAGGTGTATGGCTCTCTCAAACACTGCTGGGTACCCAGGTTCTGTAGTCACAAAAAAGCCCATCATCCCTCCTTCACCGGTATAGGTACTGGTTTATATGAGGTATTTATGTAAAAAAAAAAAAAAAAAAAAAAAGATGCGTGTTATGACTCAACATCCCTACTTGATTTTTGTTTGGTCATTGGTTTACCTTTAGAAATCCTCGATTCAGATGCAGCGTTGCAATCATTAATGAAGCTTAAATGTTAATTTTACAGAAAAAAGGCTGTCTTGTTCTGGCAGCTGTTGCAACAACCCTAACGTGATCAGCCTTTTGCTAATCATGCTAAAATCTGCTGTAATATTTAACTGGCTGATTGAGGCCTTTAGAGTCTGATAGGGTGCTCTTTAGGCTTTTGAAAGCAATGCATGTTCTAACATGCAAAATTTGCTTGGATGTTCACTTTTTGGATGAAAAAGATGAGATCAATCCTGAAATAGTTTAAAATGACCTTAAAAGCCTCCTAAGATTAAGTGGCAACAATTGCCTCTTTTAAGATAATTGACGATCACTCTGCTCTTCTGCATGGGCCCACATCTGCAAAACTCTTTCTTAGAGGTGATCACTGTGATGATGGTCAATTAATCACGTGCACTTGATTAGCAGCATTTAGCTCCAACATTGTTTGTTCAACAACTTCACTTTATTTATGAGAACAATTATTAAGGAATGCAAACCATACTATGTTATTCACAATGTGTGAACTAAACGGTTTTAGACACGAATTGTAAAATATAAGCATTGAACTGACTGAGAAGGCTCTGTTGCATGCAGAGAAGGTGCTTTATATACACAAACACAGCTGCAATAAAGAATGTGTTTTCATCTAGATTCATCTAGATCAGATTAGATTCATCTAATTCTAATTAAAACAACTGCAGTTGAATTTGTGTTGTAAATGCCACTGATCTACTGTATATATTAGAGTCAAAGTAAGTTTTGCAAAATATTTCTAACACTGATAACAGGATCCTAAACTGCCTTTATACTAAACATCTGATGAATCTTCCACCCTGTGTAGTTACAAAAAAAACTGTTTTTACAGCTGAGCAGTTCCAAATAACAGTAGTTCTGTCAAGCTTTGAAGAAATCTCAAACGGAAAGCATACCAACCTTGCAGCTTCTGCCTCTTTCTTCTTTTAGTTCTGCTAGTTCTGCTGTCCTAATGAATGTAGTTAGGGTTCACTAGCAACAGAGAATGCGCTCAAATCCCTTCATTATGGCTCTCCAGTATGTGCTCCCTGCTGGTTCCAAGTAGAAAGCTGGGTCCTTCCCAAACAGCTGAGCCTTTCACATTCAAAACATCTCTCCCTGCTCAGTGGTAAATAGGGACGTGGGCATGGCAGACAGAACGCAGTGAGAGGAGGGTAGAGATAGTGGGAATAAAGGCCACTGATTAAAGCAGCTCCAAGCAGAGGGGCAGGTAAACATGTGTTCAATGAGTAAGCTATCCATGGGACTTTGATCAGGGACACACTAACTAACCTCTGTTCCTCAAAGTGAGCAACCCTACTGTAAAGTATTTAATCATACATTTTGAATGCACTGTAAGCATGTTTGCTGTCAAACCTAATTATGTCACTCATTACTGATTTTTAAAAAGATGCTTTACCAACTGGAAATGCTTTAATGATTGTTTGGCTGGCAGAATTTTTAATTGGAACCCTGGAATCTAGACATAAAACCTTAAAGACTGAAAGTATCAGCAAAATGGAAAATCTATATATATATATATATATATATATATATATATATATATATATATATATATAT